GGATTCAAGAAATATGAAATGCTAAATCACGACTTATTTTAACCACACCTGAATATGTGGCATTTTGAATATGCCACAACTAGTTAAGATCATACCACATGCTGAATTAAAAACAAATCACAATCTAGTTTGGGGAAATAGATAAGTGAATAGATAATCTTCACTGAGCCACAGTTTGACTGTTTTTAATTCAAAGAAGCCCGATCAGAATTTTCTTACTTTCGCAGTTCAAAACCAAAGAGTGCAAAGCAAATTCCAATTCATTTTTGCTCGTTAGACATATGCAATTACTGTATCATAGGAAGAGCTCTGCAGCACACCAAATTGTTTGCTAAATCCAGTCTTGCCCATGCCAATGGAAATTGTGTCTCTGACCCCTTAATTGGAAAGATGCTAAATTAAACCTGATATTTTTTTTCGGCACGTGTTTAGTCGTGGCTTCTGAGCGCACTCGTTGTGGGCTCTCGAGATGTCGCTGAACTTTTCATGAGCTGTAAGCCATCATCATCACAATTACGACAAATCGCGGCTTGAACTATCTTGCTTTGCATGTAATGAGTATCTCATATATTAGTTTCACTGTTTAAGTTGCATTACTGAAATAATTATTTTGCACGATATTCTAATTTTTCGAGTTTCACCTGTATATCAGGCATAAATACAATTGAGTGAATCCAGAAGTATTTCATGAGAAGAGTACTATACTCCTCTACTCACAACAGAATACCCTATATCACCAGGCTTGAAATTTTGGGCTTGGACAACCTTGAACTACATCGCCTATGGTTGGACTTAAGCGTAGTGAACAAAATTATCTGCTACAATGTCCTACCAGTCAATGACTTCTTCAGCTTCAACCACAACAATACAAGAGCACACAACAGATACAAACTCAATGTAAACCATTCCAACCTTGATTGCAGAAAGTACGACTTCAGCAACATAGTAGTCAATGCCTGGACTGCACTACTTGACTCTGTTGTTACATCCTCAAACCCCCACTCCTTTAACCTTAAACTATCCACTATTGATCTTACCCCATTCCTAAGAGACATGCTTAAGTGCACAATTGTGCCTACCGTCCCTGTCCTACTTTCTCCATTTATTCGTACCTGTTTCCTGTTTATACTTATACCTGTTATCTTGTAAGCAATTGAAAAATCAAATAAAAAAATAAATAAAATACCTTTACAATGTTCTGAATTGCATACTCTAGTTACCAAGAAACTACATTGCTGGAAATATGTTATTTTTTTAAACCCTCCTTTGCTTTTTTGCAATTTGTTTGTTATTTGAGTTCTTTTTAATCCCGTCCCTTTCACAGATATACTAATTCTCTTTAAATGTTTAACACAGATAAGTCTAACTGCTGATTACACAACCTCAATCAATTGGACATCAGAAGATAACACAACGCCCTAAATCTTTTCCAAGGTGTTTTATGCTTTCTCTTCTTATTTTTTTAAACAGGGTTTTAAATGAGCCTCACAAGAGATGACTTCAGGACTCAAAATGGCTTCTAAGAATTGGGAAATGGCTAATAGTTGGAGGCATCAGAATTTGAAGATGCTTCCATCCTTGGGTTCACGTTTGTCTACCTGAAACCTTTTCTATTTCCATTATTTGCTAGAGCTTGTCCATGTAGAAACTGTGCATTGAAATATGGCAACATCACAATAATTAGACTCTATATGCTCAGTCACAACATATCTGCTGGCTGAAAGGAAGATCTTGCTTAAATCCAACTTTTTTTTTACTAAAGTTCCATATTGACCCTCTCTGGCCAAAGGGAACCTAAGGCAGAGAATAATTTTGAGAAATCAATGACTAGCAAATTGGGACATCAATATTCTTCCTTCATTGCTCAGCCTCTTAATGGCTGCTAGCCTGGCAAGGGAACCAAAAGCAGTGTGTGCAATGCTGCCTAATAAACTACCTCAGGCACACAAACTGACCTACGGTAACAACACACACTAGCAACAAGGACAACTTTAAAACCAAACAAACCAGAAGCTGTTTAAAAGAACAAACAAAAAAAGAGGGAGGGTTACAATGATGTCCACAGGAGGGACAAGGAAGTCAGAATGACGAAAATGGCATTATGATCTGTTGATACAAGCCCTGCCTTTTTTCTAGATGCATCATAAAGTTTCATGCACGCCCAGAAGTGGCGGTGTTCGTAACAGAAAGGGATAGCACCATTTGAGTCTCTGTCATAAATACCAGGTTTCTGTGGATCCTGGTGGAGGGATCTAGTGCATGAATGAGAGAAGTCTAAATAGTACAGTTGGGGAAGAGCCCCCTGTTTAAAGCAAAATTAAATGAATGGAGAAATATGTTGGGAAGGGAAGGCTATGGATGGGAGCCAAGACAAGTGAGCTCGTCCATCAGCATTGTTGACACATTAAAAAAAAATAGATCAAAGTTAATTGAGTCAATATAGCATGACAGAGTGGCACAGCCAGTCAGGACAAGGGATTAGTAACACTGAAGCAATAGATTGACTGATGTGAATGTACTTCATTCTATGCCTCACACAATCTCACACCTTATCCAAGACATTGTGATTAGGGCAATGGATGAGGTCCTGGCCTGTCAGATCCTAAAGCCAACTCTCTCAGAGCCAGGACTCATTGCTTAAGTGGGGTCTTGTCTCTACCCCTCAGTGTGACTGTGGTGCTCCTCGACAAAATATCCATCACATTGTGTCCGAATGTCCATTGAAAGCTTACATCAGCCTTGAACAGCTGAGTGAATTGGGCATTGGCATTTGAGCTACTGTAAGTCCATGTATTTGCCATACACTAAATAAATACCTGCAGATATGCAGATGATACCACTCTAATGGCAGAAAGTGAAGAGGAACTAAAGATGCAAGTGAAGAAGGAGAGTGCAAAAGTTGGCTTGAAAGTCAACATTAAGAAAACTAAGATCATGGCACCTGGCCCTCTCAATTCCTGGCAAATAGATGGGAAAGAAATGAAGGTAGTGACAGTTTTTATTTTCCTGGTCTCCAAGATCACCGCAGGTGGGGACTGCAGCCAAAAAATTAAAAAAATGCTTGCTCCTGGGGAAGAAAGCTATGGAAAATCTAGACAGCATACTAAAAAGCAGAGATACCACTCTACCAACAAAAGTGCATATAGTCAAGGCTATGCTTTTCCCAGTTGCAATGTATGGCTGTGAAAGTTGGACCATAAGAAAGACTGAATGCCAAAGAATTGAGGCCTTTGAACTATGGGGCTGGAGAAGACTCCTGCGAGTCCCTTGGACTGCAAGGTGATCAAACTGGTCAGTCCTAGAGGAGATCAACCCTGACTGCTCTTTAGAAGGTCAGATCCTGAAGATGAAACTCAAATACTTTGGCTATCTAATGAGAAGGAAGGACTCACTAGAGAAGAGCCTAATGCTGGGAAAGACTTAGGGCAACAAAAGAAAGGGACGACAGAGAATAAGGTGGCTAGCTGGAGTCACTGAAGTAGTCGGCGTGAGCTTAAATGGACTCCGGGGGATAGTAGAGGACAAGAAGGCCTGGAGAAATGTTGTCCATGGGGTCGTGCTGGGTTGGACATGACTTCGCAACTAACAACAACTACAAATAAATAAATAAATAAACCATCATGGCTTTTAACGCCAACGGTCTTCTTTTCACCATCATATTTTGGACACATTGTGCAAATACTTGGCTTTCTTTGCTAATCCATAGCGTTGCAAAAGGTAGATAGAAAGAAAGATGATGACCAACAACAAGGTGGTTGGACTTGATTCCAGCAACAATGGGTGTAACGTTGGAGGACCTGAAGGGCCAGGTTTGGAAAGTGATTGTCCTGGACAAGTTCTATGTAATCTCTAAAAGTTGACAGCAACTTGATAGAGTGTAATAAACCCAACAGAGATATAAACCTCAGTATGTATCAACCCAGAACAAGATATGCAGTGGGAATGTTTTCAGCGCGTATGTATGTGTACATTATTGAACACATAGGTACACACACACACACACACACTCTTACATAACACTGAATGTAAACATGACAAATGAACCATTTAAGTTGCCACATAAATGCGTTTGACCCTTTGGTCTGAATTGTTATTCCTTAGGCTCTTGAAATGTATAATAACATAATAATAGAAATGCAGTATCCAAGACACTACACTGATTTCTTTAAAATCTGTATAGATTATGAGTTATTTTCTCTTTCAGGAATGAATATAAAAGGATGGGTTAGATGTGGGACATAATGCAAGGGCATATCCGCCACTCAAGCTGTCTTATTTATTTATGTATTGATTCAATTTATATGGCTGCCCATCTTACAAAAGCAGTTCTGAGCAGTTAATATAACATAACTATTCCAAATACAGAAGAAACAACAATATACTGTAAAAACATACAATGGCAATTCAGAATAAGAACCAATCAACAGCAACCAATAGTAGCACTTTAGAAATTTAACTACCCTCTCAACCTTTCCATTTAATTCAGAGGGCCCCCAAAGCACATACATATATTTAAAATATCAAAACACCAAATCCTCGATTTTCCACCTCATATATAATTCTGTTTTAATATAGTCTAAAAAGGAGAGGTTAATGGCTTTTCAATACAAAACTAAATATTATTAATTCCATTCTTACACCTTACTGAAAGTTCCTTATGTGGTCTTGCTGTATAGGTATACTTTAGAAGATGTTTTCATTGATATTTCTATCATCTGTCATTAAAGGTACAGTTTAGAAAATCCATCCATTCTATCCACAAAAAGATCTCTTACATAATATCATTAATCCAAACAAAACAGAATTTTATAGATTTTTTTAAAAAGATGAACTTTATACTATTAACAGAGCAAGCACCTTTATTCCTTCAAATTACAGTAAGACTATGAGAATCTGGTCATAATAATTTTAAAATGATTTCTCTTTTATCTTGTTCAAGGTGTCCTATTTTTTTAACATTTTTTCCCTAAATCTAAAATAGTAAAAAAAAAAAAACTCACCAAAAGAGGATTTGAAAAACAAAAAGAAATAAGTATCAAATATTCCAGTGCCGCCACATTAACCAATAATGCGTCTGTTCATTTTCAATGTCCATCAACTTTTGCATACTAACTTAGTGTTCAGGAATTAAGCCTCTACGTTGCCCATGATTATTTACCTATAGGTCAGTAGCCGCAAAGTCACCCAAGTTCGTTGACATCCCATGTAGAATTTTAACTTGACCGCTTCATCACACAGCTGAATAGCCAATTTGGGGTGGAGGTGGGAGGAGGAGATGCATTGAAATGTTTATTCTCAAGCCAGGGAAGAAAAAAAATGAAGAATTTCCTACCATTTCATTCCGGCAATTATTACATTACATTGCGTACTGCCACACAATTCTGTAAGAAAATTAAAATGAAGTTAAAAGACTGCCATTTCTCTCAGTTTCCTCTCACCTTTTGAAAATTACAGGTAGCTCTCGACTTACAACAATTCATTTAGTGACCATTTAAAGTTACAAGGGCACTGAAAAAAGTGACTTGTGACTGTTTTCACACTTGCGCATGTTGCAGTAGTAGTGCCGTGGTCACGTGATCAAAATTAAAATGCTTGGCACAGTGGTGGGATTCAATTTTTTTTTTAACTACTGGTTCTGTGGGCGTGGCTTGGTGGGCGTGGCAGGGGAAGGATACTGTAAAATCTCCAGTCAGAGGTGGGATTTGCCGGTTCTCCAAACTATTCAAAATTTCCGCTACTAGTTCTCCAGAACTGGTCAGAAGCTGCTGATTACCCCCTCTGGCTTGGCCACTGACTCATATTTATGACGGTGACAGTGTCTTCATGACCTTCTGATGAGCAAAGCCAATGGGGAAGCCAGATTTACTTAGTAAGTAACAACTGTGTGACTAACTTAACATCTGTAGTGATTCACTTAACAACTGTGCCAAGAGAGGCCGTAAAATGGGGCAAAACTCACTTAACAAATGCCTCATTTAGCGACATTAATTTTGGCCTCAATTGTAAGCTGATGACTACTTGTATTGCACTAGGTCATATTGAAAACTAGGGTTTAAAAATACAGTTCCTTTTGGGAAAATTAGCATATCCAAGCTCATATTTTCCATTTGGCGTCTGGACAATTAACCTGCCAATTTTTACTGTAAAGTTCCTTTTAAAATCTAAAATCCACCCCCTTTCAAAAAAAAAAGGGGGGGGGATCTATAAGTCAGATTCTGTCCTGGGGAGAATTTACTCCCTCTGGAATTCAATATTTCTCCTAGGCTGTGTAGGCTTCCTTTAGTGTGCCATTCATCCAAACGCCTCATGACAGCAAACGCAGAAAGAATTCAGTCATGTCCCTTGATTTCTCCTGTTATTTTTATACTCTTTTGGGCATTTCACTGTCCTGCCATGTCACCATCGGCTTTCAGAATTGGACAGGAATGACCAAGTGCAGGGATTAACCTTTCTCCTTTAAATCATGCCCCGGGAACAAAGCCAAGCCAAGATGATAAGAATAAAATTGAGATTATAGTGGCATTTTATGTTATCAATGATTATGGTTGCATTACATATAAAACACAAGAAATAAGAACAACTAGACACAAGGACAGTGATTATCTTAAAGCAACTCAAAGTCCTCACTGAAGATGGGTGTGTTCACTTTTTTTTTTTACCCAGAGGGAATCACCTTTTTCCATTTATTGAGAAAGTTCTCCAAAAGCAAGAGCATCTCTGAAAGGAACCCTCCCCCCACCCTGGACATCTCATTGTCTAATTAGGATCAAAGCCATATAGGATTCAAAACATCTTAATTATGCTGAGAAAACAATGGGCAATGCTTATTCTGAGCTGTCGGTCCTGGGGTGCAAGAATTAGAACAACCCCTAGATGGCAGCACAGAAATCCAAAAACCACTAGCTTTTTTGGTGCCATCTTATGACCACCTGGAATTCTGCAGCTCAGATTTGGTTATGCTAGCATCTTTTGAAATGGGCACAAATGACACATGCCACTTTATAGATTGAATTGGGATTTCTTAAAACTTATTTAGACTGGCCGAAAGTTGTTTAGCATCTGGATGTGTATACATCTGACCATAGCTATGTTTACTCAATGCTCAATTATATTAGGCTGAGTTGTAATTGGTTCTGGCTAACCCACACACTAGTAGTGGGATTCAAACATTTTTACTACCAGTTCTGTGGGCGTGGCTTGGTGGGCGTGGCAAGGGAAAGATACTGTAAGATCTGCTGACAGAGGTGGTTTGTGCTGTCCAGACAGTTTAGAGTTCATGGGATTTGGGATAGTTAATTAGGAATTCAGAACTGTCCCCTTAAGGGAATGCATCATAGTAAATATAGTTAAGGTATCCTGGGAAATGTAGTCCATGTTATGTGGTCACATCTGTAATCCAGATTGGTCACTAAATTGACCCTTGTTGGGTTGGGGGAGCTCCCTCACTCTTGCCTGAATCCACCATACCATGCAGCTGCTTCAATCATCATGGGGATGAGACTTTATCTTTCTACACCACAATTCAGATATGCAAAGGATTGGACATTAAGAAGAATCTCATCATAAATGTGAGTTGATAAGGATGCCTGATGAACCAATAAAAAAGACTTTGTGTGGATGCTTTGTGGAGTTACTCTGTTTGCTTTATGCCATCCAGACAGTACTGAGCAGAACATGATATTTGCCAGTTCTCTGAACTACTCAAAATTTCCACTACTGGTTCTCCAGAACTGGTCAGAACCTGCTGAATCCCACCTCTGCCACACACTATTATACTCTGAAATGAGTGAAATGTTGGCCTCACTTTCTCTGACTCTTTTTCAAACTCTGAGATGACTTGTCACTTGTGCCAATACCCATCTGATGGAGCTGAAAACAATTCCTCAGAGAAGCAGGAGAAGGTCCCATTTCAAAAGCAGCCTTATGGAAGAGGAGGAGGAAGAGGAGGAGGAAGAGGAGGAGGAGGAGAACCCTAGGCTGGGACAAACCTAATCCCTTAAAACACCAGCAAATCCTCTTTAGAGTTGCTCCTTCCAAAGTGTCCTGCAGTGACACTACCATCTTAGGTAGGAAGTTTACGAAATATAGTCCCAAAGTACAATGGTTAGATCATCAACATCCACCGCAACATCACCTGCTCCCCACTCCACAATCACATGCTTAGCTCTACTTGGCCAAAAAAAAACCCCAGTAATAATACTAACCATCTAAAATGTTGTCTTCTGTAAACAAGATGAGTTATCCAACCATTGATAAATTATCTGATTCTACTAAGCCTCTGAGATCTTGCCCTCACCTTTTGGGTTTGGTTTTCTAGCTTTTCTAGTACTGGGAGATGCTGTTGTTCCTTCTTTCTAAAACCATCCATTGATCTATATTTGCCCTTGAGGTGTTGTTCCTATGTTGTAATGTATAGGGAAGTTGTGTATGCATTGTATGCACAGATGAACAGCATAGAGGGATCCCATGTAGCCAATGCTCTAGTGGCTTTTTTAGAGCTTAGAATGAATAATTATAAATCACAGGGATGTCATTATGCTCTTTCATCTGAATGTTACTACAGTTGCAAAACTTACTTTTTGTGTGTATCCTTTCTGTGTCAGTTTGACCTAGTGGTTAAGGCACCAGGCTAGAAGCCAGAGACTGTGAGTTCTAGTCCCATTTTAGCCATGAAAATTGTCTCTGGGGGACCTCCCCAACTCACCTCATAGGGTTGTTATTGTGGGGAAAAACAGAAAGGATACAAGTTTGTTCATAGAGGGCTTTATATAAGGTTTGGGACCTTGCTTTTTAAAGGTCAAAGGCCTTTCCATTAAAGCCTATTCCTGTATAGTTTGTCTTATACACTGCTCAAAAAAAATAAAGGGAACACTTAAACAACACAGTGTAACTCCAAGTCAATCACACTTCTGTGAAATCAAACTGTCCCCTTAGGTAGCAACATTGACTGACAATCAATTTCACATGCTGTTGTGCAAATGGAATAGACCACAGGTGGAAAGCATAGGCAGTTAGCAAGACATCCCCAATAAAGGAGTGGTTCTGCAGGTGGTGACCACAGACCACTTCTCAGTTCCTATGCTTTCTGGCTGGTGGTTTGGTCACTTTTGAATGCTGGCGGTGCTTTCACTCTAGTGGTGGCATGAGACAGAGTCTACAACCTACACAAGTGGCTCAGGTAGTGCAGCTCATCCAGGATGGCACATCAATGCAAGCTGTGGCAAGAAGGTTTGCTGTGTCTGTCAGTATAGTGTCCAGAGCATGGAGGCGCTACCAGGAGACAGGCCAGTACTTCAGGAGATGTGGAGGAGGCCGTAGGAGGGCGACAACCCAGCATCAGGACCGCTACCTCCGCCTTTGTGCAAGGAGGGACAGGAGGAGCACTGCCAGAGCCCTGCAAAATGACCTCCAGCGGGCCACAAATGTGCATGTGGCTGCTCAAACGGTCAGAAACAGACTCCATGAGGGTAGTATGAGGGCCTGACGTCCACAGATGGGGGTTGTGCTTACAGCGCAACACTGTGCAGGACGTTTGGCATTTGCCAGAGAACACCAAGATTGGCAAATTCGCCACTGGAGCCCTGTGCTCTTCACAGATGAAAGCAGGTTCACACTGAGCACATGTGACAGACGTGACAGGGTCTGGGGACGCCGTGGAGAACGTTCTGCTGCCTGCAACATCCTCCAGCATGACCGGTTTGGCAGTGAGTCAGTAATGGTTTGGGGTGGCATTTCTTTCAGGGGCCGCACAGCCCTCCATGTGCTCCCCAGAGGTAGCCTGACTGCCATTAGGTACTGAGATGAGATCCTCAGACCCCTTGTGTGACCATATGCTGGTGCAGTTGGCCCTGGGTTCCTCTTAATGCAAGACAATGCTAGACCTCATATGGCTGGAGTGTGTCAGCAGTTCCTGCAAGACGAAGGCATTGATGCTATGGACTGGCCCGTCAGTTCCCCAGACCTAAATCCAATAGAGCACATCTGGGACATCATGTCTCGCTCCATCCACCAATGTCATGTTACACCACAGGCTGTCCAGGAGTTGGGAGATGCTTT